TACATAAAACAAACAAGATAAAATACAGTAAAACTCAATTATTTCTTATTGAATAGCACATTAGCAAGTCAGTCTCAATTTAAATTTTTTGGATGTTGTTGTTCTGTCATCTCAATTCAAACTGCTTTAGGTTGAAAACTTGGTATGAGTACGATGAGATTAACGGCCATAATGTCGGCTAGGGATGGAAATTCTAACCGTTAAACCCGATAACCGTGGATAACCGCCCGAATGGATTGGATTTGGATATGAAATTCAGGTATGCTATGGATATGGGGAAAACCGTGAACTTTATTCGGTTATGGTTTTGGATATGGTTATAAGGGTCCCCAATCCATATCCGTCCCCGAATCCGACCCAAATATATTGTGTGTGTGTGTGTGTGTGTATTTGATATATAATATAATTTTATTCAATGTACCGAACCCTCCCTATACTAATTCATTATGCATGCATCAAACCCTATACTATCTTTATTATGCACCAAACATCATGCATGGGGCATACCAACAACCTCATCAATTCAATACTCTTATTGTTATACTCAACCAAATTAATTCATTGTATCATTTTATATATCAATTATCAAATGTTCCAAGTTTATCAGATTCATCTCTCTTCAAGAGTCTCACTGTCAAGAAATTAATTCATTGAATCAATTTGTTTTGTCTGCCTTTCATATTTGCTTTTGTCCTTTTTTTTTATTGGACCAATTTATCATATTGGCTTACCATAAACAATATATTGTTATGTTTTTTGTAATTGGATATTGCTATTTAATGATGGAATTAGTATCTACTAAAATTTATAGTGCATCAATTGGATGAATATATATATATATATATATTTTTTAACAAAGATGGATATAACTGATAACCGATTGAAAATCCGTTAACCGGTGGATATGGTTATGGATAATCCCCAATGGTTAATTTGTGGTTATGGATATGGTTAATTTTCGTGGTTATGGGGATGGTTATAGCATTTTCGTCCCCAAACCGAACCGTTGCTGTGACATCCCACATCGCCCAGGGGAGTGATCCTTAAATGTATATTCTCATCCCTACCTAGAACGAGGCCTTTTGGGAGCTCACTGGCTTCGGGTTCCGTAGGAACTTCGAAGTTAAGCGAAAAGGAGGCTAGAGCACTCCCAAGATTGGTGACCCACTGGGAAGTTGCTCATGAGTTCCTAAAAACAAAACCGTGAGGGAATAGTAAGCCCAAAGTGGACAATATCGTGCTACGATGGTAGAGCGGGCCCAAGATATGGTGGACCCAGGTCGGGATGTGACAAATGGTATCAGAGCCAATCCCTGGCCGGAAGTGTACCGACGAGGACGTCGGGCCCCTAAGGGGGGTGGATTGTGACATCCCACATCGCCCAGATGAGTGATCCTTAAATGTATATTCTCATCCCTACCTAGAACGAGGCCTTTTGGGAGCTCACTGGCTTCGGGTTCCGTAGGAACTTCGAAGTTAAGCGAGAAGAAGGCTAGAGCACTCCCAGGATGGGTGACCCACTGGAAAGTTGCTCATGAGTTCCCAAAAACAAAACCGTGAGGGAATGGTAAGCTCAAAGTGGACAATATTGTGCTACGATGGTAGAACGGGCCCAAGTTATGGTGGACCCGGGTCAGGATGTGACAAATGGTATCAGAGCCAATCCCTGGCCGGAAGTGTACCGACGAGGACGTCGGGCCCCTAAGGAGGGTGGATTGTGACATCCCACATCGCCCAGGGGAGTGATCCTTAAATGTATATTCTCATCTCTACCTAGAACGAGACCTTTTGGGAGCTCACTGGCTTCGGGTTCCGTAGGAACTTCGAAGTTAAGTGAGAAGGAGGCTAGAGCACTCCCAGGATGGGTGACCCACTAGGAAGTTGCTCATGAGTTCCCAAAAATAAAACCGTGAGGGAATGGTAAGCCCAAAGCGGACAATATCGTGCTACGGTGGTAGAGCGGGCCCGGAATATGGTGGACCCAGGTCAGGATGTGACAGTTGCCATGTCGGCCAAATATATCATTTTATTTTTGTTCACTTTCTTAGGTTTTTAGTAGACAAAAAACCGTTTTTTAGGTAATAAAAAATTATTAAGGAACGATTATGACCTATATAGGACGGCACATGCATTGTTAAATGTAAGCAGAAGGTCACACACACTAAAAAATCACAATTTCATAATTAAAAAAAAATAGGAAAACTAATGAAAATAGCTTGAAAACTTTGAGTTTTAATGATAAGGACAAAATAAAGGGTAAAGTGAATAGTAATAGGTTTGACTTTTTAGTGTAAAAATGTGGTTTTTCATTAAAGTGAACAGTACTATGAGCTTTTCGTTAAAACTCCCTTAACAAATTGGCTAGGTCTGGTAACTATTCACCCTTTAAAGACAATTCTAAATTGGCTCTAACATTTTAAAACGTTTCAAATAACTACTTAAATTTTTTTAAAATGACACCTATTAGGTTCACTGGCTTTAATGGATACCTTGGACAAATAGTAAAGCGTGTTTTAACTCTCAAGTCGTATATGGAGCCTTGAATCTCCAAATCGAGTAACACCAATCGATCCATTTTAGCTAAGCAAATTTACGATTTAACTTGACTATATTGTCGATTTGGGGGATTAGAGCTCCGAAGACGGTAATTAGTGAAAATCAACTTTAGTATTTGTCGACCTCATCATTTAATGCCAGTAACATCATCCCTTAATGTTGGTGAAGTTATCACTTAAGTTGACCTAACAAATGTCCAATTTTCAAAATGTTTGAGGTAGTTATTTGAAATGTTTTAAAAGGTTGAAATTTGAAACTAATTTAGAATCACCCTAAAAGATTGGATAATTATTCGTACTTAACCCTTATAAAATCATCAAAAACACAATATAATTCATCAGCCATGAGACTCACATCTTACAAACATGAAGATTAACACAGATGAACTAAACCTTGCAAGTTGTAGAACGATAGGAAAACATCACAAAGAAAAGACAGCACCAGAAAGCAAGAAACATGGTGGGATAAACTTTGTTGGAAGCTGGAAATAGGGGGATTGGCTAACAGAACTCATTGGAGGTGTTGACATAACCTATAAGGGATATGTATTAGGAAGCGAAGGGATACTTTTTAAAATTGATCATGTATCCTCCAAGTATTTTGTTCATTTTTTATTTCGTTCTATAATCTTAAATGCCCAAGACTATGTTGGCAAAATTTTATTTTTAGGATGTGGGGTGCGCCAGACCCAAGCAATAGTTCAACGCTCGGGCAATGCTCGAATCGCTAGCTATTGTAGCGAGCCCTCATCCTATTAAAAATAATTTAATATTTAATATTGTGTGAACCATTGGTCTATGTATCAGATATTTAAATGATATAAACATACTATAATGGTTGTTTACTTCATAAGTGAGCGTCAAAAAGTTGAACTAAGATGCAGTTTTGTTAAGGAGTCGAAATCCAAATTTCCATTGAAACTGTTTACAACTAAACTATCTGAAATTGGCATAAGAATAGGAGTGCTAGTAGAAAGGAAAAAACACCTTCCTTGCTAGTGGAGACCGTTTGCCCACCCTTCCAGTGGTATTTGAACATTCGACAGTCCCAGTGTTAAAGGTTGAAGTTTATTCACTGAGACATTTCGTCGAAACATGGTGAGCTTGTTATTAGTAGCTGAACCATGTTTCAAATATGTCAATAGATATCGACATATGCTGAAACAATCTTTTAAGTGCTATTGAGAAAATTTGCTTAGTGCTCTCAACGCTACCTACCAAGATATGTCTAGCAGGCTTTACATCATACTTGGTAGGCACAAAAAAGACTCATACCAAACATTCAAAGAGTCCTCAAAAGACCTTCACTTGTATATTTCCAAAACTCCAGGTAATATTGGGACCACCTTGGTTCCAATGTACATCCATCACTGCACCCTTCAATTCAAGATGTTAAAAACAGCTAGTTTCAATCACTGCAAATGGTATTATGTTATTTTCCTCTCCACTTGTAAAGACATATCTTTGCATTGTGTTTGGATGTGGAAAACAATGAACTAAAAAGTCAAGAATCGACAGCATAAATTTGTGGGCTTTTTAGCCAAAATGGTCCCTGAGATTTGCATAACTCCTCACTTTGATCCTTGAGATTTGAAATCCATAAAAGTGATCTCTAAAATTGTTCACTGGTCCTTGAGTGAAAAAATATGTTAAATAAGGATCAAAATGAAAAAATTACCCTCAATTTAATAAACAATAAAACAAAATGATTTGACAAAAATTGAGAGTATTTTTATCATTTTATTCTTATTCTATGAAGATTTTTCACAAAATGACCAAAATAATTGATTGTGGACGAATTTAGGGACCAATTCTATCAATTTCAAATCTCAGTGGCCAAAATGAAGAGTTGTACATATCTCATACCATTTTGGCTAAAAAATCAACTTCATGTTTTACTTTAATTTACCTGGGTATTCAAACTAATGTTCAAAGAGACAAGCACACCCATAAAATTGGTTAAGAAAATGATAAACCCACACCTATGTTTAATCATGTCTGTTATTTTTTGTTTAATTTATTCAATCCGCTTGCCAAAAATAAAAATAAGTGAGAGACTAAAAAGGGTGTGAAATTCAGTTTCAGACTAGATTAACATTCCTAGTATGTCGATTTCCAGGCACAAGTTTAAAAAGAAGGATGATTAGACAAAAGAACATCCAGAAATGAAAGAGTTTCATTTTTCCACCCACATCAAGGAATCAAACACCAATCAACCACTTGCAAATATTGTCCCAATCCCAAAACAAAATCTAATTAGCAAGCGACCCTTTATCACAGAGGTGGAAAGATGTTGAGTCTTTGCATGATGGTGTGAAAAACCCCATCAATGGCTAATCTAACAAAATCTATTGTTTACCCAAAAAAAAAATCTAATTATCCATGCCAACGATTTGATGCATATTATATCATGGGCATGGCATGCAGTAACATCACAAGTGAAGGAACCAAAGAGTGCTTATCACAGAAAATAAGCTCCAACAAATATAAATGTTTCATAAATTAAAAATAAGTGACAACATGGATGTAATGTATCAAGTTTGAGAAAATCCAAATTCAAATTGTACCCATTAATGCTTTAGGTTCATGACGGTAAATCCGGGAACGATTAAACTTTCCCTGACACAAAAGATTCAACTATAGAGGACCTTTTTTGGACTGGAGGGTTGTGCTCCTTCAAAAAATTGTTCCAAGAAGTCTCCATGGAGTTATTCTGTAGAGCCACGGACCAGAACAACCAGATGCCTTCTTCCAACAACTGGTTAATAATCTCGTCCTTTGTAAGGCATTTCCTGTAAAGACGAATCCAAAACTGGTTAAAAACTGGTCTGTCGCAAAAAGGAATAAATGCTACTCGCAACGACCAAATATGCCTCCAGTGGACTTGAAAGAAAAGTTATAGGACTAACTTCCGCACATATAACTAAAATTATAACTTCTTTTCTTTTGCTCATATATATATAATAGGAGTGACTGAAATTTTAATTAAAAAAGGAAGTCTCGATCAATCACAATACATAATTTCAGGACAACATGAAATTGCTTACAGGTTGGTAGTTTGGCATGTATACGACTTGCCTAGGATGGCCAAGAAGCATCTGTTGCCCATACTGCAATTAGATGAAGATACGTAATTAATGTCATGAATTAGCATCATGTTATCTCACATGACCTCGACAAAGTAATTGAAAGAATCACACCTGAGGCCCATTTGGATGAAAAAAGGGTTGGGGTCCTTGCATTGTCTGTGGATTAAACATAACAGGTTGGTGTCCAAAAGAGGGCCCACCCTGCAAATATAAAGGCCGTTGATAAAATAGAAGATGAAATCATTTATTAAAAATAAAAAATAAAAAAACAATAGCATAAGGTGAATCCCAAGTCGAAAAATCAATAACGTGTACTGCAATTCCCCTTGACTTTATTCTTATCCTTTTCTTAAAACATAAATTTAAACACGAAAGCGAAACTTATATATAATCTGGTAACATAGAAAAATAAATTTTAACCAATAGTCATAACTAATCATTAAGTTAACCCAAGTGATGAGGGAGGGTGGGGTAATGGGTTAAGGATTAGGATAGGTCCAGAGTTCATTTCCCTCCATAAGGATTCGACGTGATCATGGAGTGCCGGCTGTCGACTACCTGACGCCCTCCCCCTCCTCCTTTATCCGGGCTTGGGACCCTCCAATGTAACAAAAAAATAATGTAATCAATCTATTTATGCTTTTCTTTTCAAAGGAGTACAGGTTAGGATAAGGAAAAACAATAACAACTCAAGAACATTGGAATCTAACTATGACTTTTAATAACTTGATTCATTAGATTAGAAAATGCAGTCTAATTTTTGAGCTGATAGTAGATGGTATTTGCATTTCATATAAAGGTTTACGTGAACAACAGTGTCTTCAATCATGATAACTAAGATTTCAGCCTACACCAGCATCACAACAAACATTTCCTTCTGGAAAGATGAAAAATAAACAGTTGAATTGACTTATGGGCCAACATCAATGAGAGAACCTAAAAAAATCAGGGGGAGAAAAGGTCAATGAATGTGTTGAAGTGCTTACTCCAATGCCAACAGGCATGCCCGGCATATGTGGTACTGCAGGTGCGTTAGTTGGATAATAGAAGGAGCCATCAGACACGGGGGATGGAGGCCTAACAGGCGCTTGAGATGGAACAAAACTCTTTGCATGCGGATTGAATTTGAATTCCTGATAAAAAAATTTAAATTGAGGAGAAAGCAAAAAGAAGAGCTGGATGCATCAGCTATACGCTAGATAAAAGTGCCTAACTTAGCACGAGAGCATATCTGTAATAATGATAATTGTTGGAACTTCAGGCATAAGATCAATAAGATTGCATTTACATCTGAGTTTGTGTTAAATGTGTGATCACAGAAAACATAAAGGTATATCAATCACACCTTCGCATGGGGATTCAATGTTGACTTCTCAGAGGACAACGAACCCATAGATGAGCTTGGTGATAAACCAGGTCCACCAGAAGAAGAGACAGTAGCTGGGAATTCCGAATTGGAAGATGCAGAACTACCAGGTCGTCCATGAGAATTTACTGTCTGTGTTTGAACATGTGATTTGCCAGTTACTGGGTCACTAGAACCCATCTTCTCATGACCTTTTGATGAAGTCTGAGCAGAAGCATAAGAGGTGGCACTGGAGGATAACCCCCCTTTATCAAACACATCTTCCTTCCCAATCAATGATGGCTGTGAATCTACATTCCATAATCAACAAGATAACTTCACAACTACCATAATGACAAATATAAAACTAAAACTAAAAATGGCACTAAAACAAGCTTCTCATTCATATGGGAAGAGAGGGAACAAGATAGGACAAGCTTCACCATAAGTACTATACCACATCTAATAGTAACATTAAGTCCAAGGAACCAAGAAACACATAATTTTGGGTAAAAGTAAGCAGGAAAAACAAATTGGAACTCACCGTCTGGTTCTGACGTTTGATTGTCTTCAGCTAGCTACATTGACAAGAACATAAAACAGAAGCAATAACTTTAGAGGCCAGAGTCAGTGAATCACAAATAATTACACAAGATTGTGAACATCACAAATACGGAAGTCTCACTCACCTTCGGCTTTACTACAGACTCAGCGGTAGCATCCACCTCTCTATTTTCACTGAATAATATAGAACATTGTTTGGTAAAAAAAGTTGTGTAATCACTTTAAAACTTGGATAGTGCTATTCACACACCCATGTTTACCTCACACACACCTTTGTCAGTTTTTGGCCCTTGATTTTCTTCAATTCATTCGAACCAATGGGCAGAAATTGAGGGTATGTGAGAAGTAAAAATGGGTGTGTGGATAGCACTACCCTAAAGCTTGTCTTACTTGCAATATATATTATTTAGAGTTGGAAAAGAAATAAACGACCTTCTTTCACCAGCTGTACAGGGGAAGCTCTTGAAAGGTGTTTCTGATGCCAGCTGTCTAGCATGGTCATAAGATCCAGAGCGACCTAAATCTGGGGCACCATTTGACTCAGAACATTGTGTGTAATCCTGCATAAAAAGTATGACATATATATCATCAGCATTTAATCAGGAATTTGTTATCAAAGCATGTTAAAAACATTCACATATAAGCACAGGAGAAAATCAATTCACAATCCCCAAAGTTGTCTTAAACTTTGGACCAAACTAATGTCTTAAAAGTAAATGATGATGGGATAATAATCAGGGAGAGCTTTCTCATGCTTGTCAAACTAGATTCTCAGTTGCTAACAAATGGAACTAAGAATGCCTCAAAACAATGATTTTGTTATGCCAGAATTTACAATAACCAAAGAACAACTAGTGGGGGAAAATATTTGGTCTCCATTTATGAGCAGGAAATAATAAAAATATACCTACTTTCTCATCACAATTGGAAGTAAAGAAAAACAGAATAAGAGAGAAAATGAGTCGATGCCCTACTTCAGTAACAAAACACTTTATTTACGGCACATGTGTAAAATTCCTATTTGATGGCACAGCAAGTTCAACAAAACAATCCGTAAATAGGTCAGAAACTAATGCCCCCTGGGCTAACATATTATACATAAGATAAGTGAGAGAACTACAACAAATGAAGAGCTCGATGGCGCCCCATCGTTTCTTTTTCCAGTGGTCCAGTCAATTGAATTCTTCCTTAAAGAACCAGTAGAATCTCCAAAGGTTTCAGTATTAAGTGAATCCAACAAAATATCCTCATCTTCATCATATCCACTATCATCAACTACTTCCCCCCGATAAACAGAGGAGAATCTTGTCTCCTCATCAATATCCCCACAAAGGTGAATGCCTCTTTCCTGTAACAACAAATCAACATGCAAAACATAAGGGACCTCAACATCAAATGAATTTTTAGAAGAACAAGATTAGCCAACAAAGCCTCACCTCTGCCATATGCAGATCAGGTGTATCCTCACACTCAATTTCCCTTGCTATTCTTAAAGCTTCCCTTTCCAACTCTCTTGTTTGAGGGCCTTTCTCAAGTTTAGTGGTGTAAAGGTCCGCATCAAATGTGCTTTTTACCCCAAATAATGTTTCATTTGTTTCAAACTGATCCCAGTTCCTGAAATGAAAAGAATATGAGGAAAATATTGAGCAATCATAATATTTCTATACAAGAGAAAGAATACAAGTACAAACATCTTTTGCTTTTTTGTAATAATTAACAGGAATTCTCTGAGAGTTGAGCACAGGTCAATTAAAGTTCTGAAACAACCAATAAGCCACAAGGCAACCACTGAAATTTGGCTAAAAAAATCCTCTAATACAGTATTACTCTTTAAGGCCAGTACATTCCCCAAGTCCACGTCTAACTTGCATCGCCTCAAGCTATAGTTTGATACCATTAAAGCATCTTTAGAACGATATAGCTAACTCTAACTCGTGAAGCGATTGGAATCTTTGTCCACCTTTCTTCTACATCATCCACTTTTTTCAGTAAACTACCTCATATGAAGAATTTTGGTAACATATAAACGCAGAGGGTTATGCCCCCTTAAGGACCCACCCTGTCAAAGAATTTCAACATCATGCAGGCAGAGAACATGCTTCGCTTCAGAACATGTATAATGAAAGGCCTAGATTGCAAATAATGATATCCCTCACATAGGTTCTTATCTCCATCGACTGGATTCCACCACAGAAATTTTAATCACTCAACAAGTGCACTAAATTAAGTTAAGAACTTTTTAAGGTTCATTCACTAGTAATAGCTCCAAAGAAATGACAACTCATAAGACCACAATGTTACTCAAAGCACCTTGACAAGAAAACTTAACAAGAATAAACCAGATAGGATTATAGAATTATCGTCTTAGATAGTGCAGAACAATACAGTTTAACACGAAACCTGAAATAGTACAACCAGATGGCACATATTCAAGTAGAGGCTATCTGACCAGTAGAACAATTACCAAGAGATTTGGGGAAAGAAAATTACTATAACAACCTATTCCATTGTCCATCAAATATATTTTCCAATTCAGGACAACGTGGATCATCTTCATCAGGTACCCACGGTTCCAGCTCTCTATCCATCTCACCACGGTGGGATTGTGATATGAAGGAATCTATCATAAGGTCCTGATGTTTTTCATGCTGAACCTCATTTAACAATCCATCTCTCGTTATTGAGACATCCTGTTATCATTTATTATACAATTAGATCAAGAGAGACCAGCGTAACAAAATATAGAAATAGCTGCTTACTCTACCACAATATCTTTCTGCTTGTTTACTTTCATAGACTACAACTACGTGCCAGAGCAAGCAAATCAAATTAAGAAGAAAAAGTTGGCCATCATATACCTGCCCATCCCCCCCTTGAAAACTCAGCAGAACAAATGATGGTAATTTGAGATTCTGAATGCTATTAAGAATAATTTTACTTGGGTCAGCAAATAGCAGTAAGAAATGAAGCAGAACCTTTGCAATAACTTGGACAAGTTCCTTGGCAGGTATAATTAAAGTCTTTGAAGGAGCCTTGCTAACCGACTCTGTCATAGACTTTTGTCCGCGTACAGAACCATCCTTTATCATTCGTGCCATTTTCAAGATGATTCCTGAAAGTGACAAGTAAAATAACATATAAAAACTGCATGGATCTGGGAAAAACAAATGGCAATTGGCAGCACTATTGACGTTATACAAAGTCTAATTATAACACTGATGATGAATACATGACCTCTCACCAAATCAATACTTATGGTAGTGTAAAAGGCAGTCTCTTTAAGAAACCCAAAAAATTGACACACACAAAAATAAAAATAAAAATAAATAATAATAATAATAATAATGTCATTTTAAAGATAATTGCTCAACGTGACCAGAAGTGAACGTTGATGAATGCACTTAATTGCATATAAAAAAACACCAATTTAGAGCACAAGTGCCAAATTCATGATCTCCAAATGATCCAAAACAGATGCTAATGTAAATGACAGTCTCATAAGACAACCACAATCAATACAAAAAGGAAGACAAACAAAATCCATATATAAAAACCAAAATCAAACGAGCATACCAAAGTCCCTTTCAGCGTTTGTTGCATGAAATATTCCAGAGTATACAGATCCATTTTCCACCTGCACTTCCACATTATGCCCAATAAGACATGTGGTCATATATACTAATCGATCACGTGAAGGACTCTCAGAGTTTCCAGATTTTCTGCCTGTTTCAGAACATATAAAGTTATTAGGCAAGTTAACATAATATCAAGGAGAATTTATATTTACAAATTTCACCAGTACTTGTTAATCTGCTGTGGTTTGCTGTTCCAGACTTTGACTTATTCTCGACCCTAGGAGCCCCTTCTCTTTCACCTCTTCGACGGCCAAAACCATTAGCAGAAGATTTAGGATGGAAAGCTTGTTGTGTATTCATCCTCAGTAGCAGCCTCTGACCTATTAAAAAAACTCAAAAGCTGGTTAAGTCATATTGTTATAATAATGGATATCAAAATACAGTAAACAAGAAGCAAGGATGCTATATGAAGATTAGTGCACAAATATAACGATGGAAATTTGTATATCTTATAATGGAAACAAGAACAAATTACAGACAAACATGATCCCAATGGCTCCGACAACGACAATCAGATCAGCATGACCACAAAAGTACAGAGACGTGCATGCACATGCACACAGAATCACCGGGACGCAGCATAAAATCAACAACCTAATAAACTAAAGCACACACATATATTTTTCATTAAATTGAACAAATCACCAGTACAAATATATCTCAGAAAAGTATCAACTTGAGCACACTTTTATAAACAAAACTCTATCTGCAAACTACTGGCAACAATCTCTAACTTTCCGGGCAAAACTATGTTCCAACAACACAAACACTACAGTAACGCTAAACAGGAATTTTTGAAAAAAATTAAACAAATCAATATCTTGATAAATCATGCATACAAATGCAAATGAACTTGAAGAGAAAACTGAAAATATAGACAAAACAAAGCCTTTTCATATTTAAGTTTCCGTGAGGGGGGAAAGAGTAAAAAAAAAGATGCAAATTAGAAGCAAGAAGTAAGATTGGAAAGGGTTTTCAGGCAGAAGGGGGTCATGCAGAAACAAATGCAATTGCTTATCCGGAGAGCAAATAGAAATATGTGTCTTCTATGTTTCAAATTTTTGGCACAACAAAAGAATAGATTTGAAGCAATGCAACGCATCAATAATTTGATTCATTAGCTATATCATTGAGTGTAGAGACAGTAAGAACATGGCAGGCAATACAACAAGGTCTAATCTTAGAATTTTCATCGAGCAAAAACCCAAAATTTACTGTAACAAAACATAATTAAGTCGCAATGCAAGACATTTTCTCTCATTTTCTTCCATTTTCCTCCGTTTTCTCGGCACCCAAACACAATGTAAAACACAACAACGAAAAGGCTATTTGCGATGCGAAATTAGGAAATACGATCCTTACCTTAATAAGCTTAATCAAGCCTATAATTACTCCGAGTCTGCTTCCAAGCTGGAGGAGAAGACGTTGGGAGGCGCCGAACCAGTGCGTTAGGGTTTGGCTCAAATTAGGACTCCTTTAGGGTTTCGAAAGAGCGAAGCTGGTGTCAGAGCTCGAATCACGAGGCTGCTTAGAGAGAGAAAGAGCGGCGGAGGGAGGAGGGAGGAGGGAGGATGGAGAGAGGGTGGTGGGTCGGTCTCGGTGTGATCGCAAGCGAGAGGAGGAGGAAGAAGAAAAAGAAGAAGACGACGAAGACGAGCTCGAGATTTTGAAGGTGTGATGAAATATATAAACGAGGAGACCGCTGTAGAATGCGTAGGAAAGTTTTGAGTTTTCCCCTCGGGTCGGGTGTACGATAAAATAATAGACCTGATCACTCCTAGTCGTCCATAACTTTATGACAAGTTGGCACATTTTTTCCCTTGTTTAGTTTTCAATATGAATCTAAATTTGCCACGTGCTATTGTCTATCAGTATTTTTCTTAACTTGTAAATGATATGTTTTAGATTTGAATATCATAAATAGTGAATTCTAGCATAATGTGGGTTAGTTGAACTCCTTTCCTTTATTGTAATATATATTGTTGTACTAAAAAAATGTTGATTATATTAATACTCTATGTATTATTCAAAAAAAACCCCACATACTTAATACACCTCACATTTGTTTTTCAACTAAAAATTATCTTAACACACCTTACGTACTTCCCTATATTACCCTTATACTCCACATTCTCAACATACCGAGAGTGTTTTGTTATATGAGCTTATATTCTTGCTTTTGTGGTTTTCATTATTCTCCGGGGAATGATCTTTCGTTTAGTATTTGTCTACCACTACATTAGCTTTCTCCTTTGCTTCCATTTAACATGTTGAACTACCTCCTCTCGGTGACTTTTGTTAACGCAGGGGACTGTGTTGGCATCTTGGTTGGGAATGATGGTAGTCACTTGCCTTTTTTAAATACCAATTTAGCTATGAAGATCATTTTTTAACTAGAGCTCATAATTTACTAATCTATCTGAATGTTACATCCAAAAAGTTCAGTGCCTACAACCAATTTAGCCATGGAGATCATTTTTTACCAAAGATGATTTATACCCTACTGTTCACATGTTAAAAATTCGGTTCTACAATCATGCTTGAATGAAATTGCACCCCCACCTAGCCTAAGAAATAAACAGAAAGCATGCTTAAAAAAATAGCAAAAGGAAAAAAAACACTACTACAGTATCACAAAGAAGATTTAAATATTTCAAAATATTTCTTTATCTGTTATGCTGCACAGAATACTTAACATTTGATATAAAAAAAACTAATGACAAGACATTGTGAGTGCATGTGTATATTAAATAATAAATAAACTTACGGGTGGTTTTTGGAATTTTTTTTAATTTTTAGGGTGGAAATAGTCATTTTATAAGAGTCATTTAATATTAAATATTGAGTTGGGGTGTATTTAACAATTTGTAAAGTGTTAATAAAAAAAAATATGAATATAAATTTTCAGGATAATGCTATAGAAACTAAATTTTTAAGAGTAATGTTGGAGACCAAATTTTTAAAGCATTATTGATGTGTCATCAATAAAAAATAAACACGTTAATAACACTTAATGAATAATCGAATCATCTACAACCACATTATTTGATTTTTAAAATTTGATCTCCCTATTAATACCCTAATTTTTATTGTACTTTTTTCTAAAAGTAATTTTACAACTTTACGAGAAGAAAATCAAACATGAGTGTATAATAAATGTGAAAAAAGGAAAATAGAATTTCAATCTCTTGAATGCAAATTAACAACTCTTAATGTAGTGACATTTTATGTTCAATATTAAAGAAGTGTCAAGGTCGAGTTATGACTTATGAGTTATTCTACACATAAACCAAAATTTAACTCTTTTTTTTTTTAACAAATACAAAACTTTAACTCTTGAATATTGAGAAAATAAGTATTTTATCACTTAGAAGCCTTGAAATTTACACTCATTTGGAAGGTGATCACGAAAAGCTTTGCTATTTTTTTGTGGAGTTTCCTTAGTATGAGATTTAACTTTGTGTTTAGACAAGTTTTGGTGCTAATCATAAAAACAGACAATTTTAACTTATTCAAAATATTTACCATCAATTAGTTTAATAATTTTTTTTTCTTTCTAGATGTCTTAAGTTTAAACTTTTCCTCCACGCTAGTTAAAAAGAAGTAAGGAAACAAAGTATTTCCATCTCCAAATTCTTTATTTTTACATTCGCGAACAAAAAAACATTGCAGCTTCAAAAGTACAAAGGCATAAAACTCAAGCGCACTCCTATTGAATTCATTAGGTATGGATATAGGCGGATTTGGATCCTCTCCTGAGCCCTTAGAGTGTAGATGCTATTGTTTGTTCAATTTTAGTTTTGAGTGTTAGTAAAGTACAAGTGACATGACAAAACGTGAGAATATTAAAATAAAAAAGTGAGAAGATTGCTTACATATCTCAACGAATTAAACTCATATCTTCCAACCCATCCTTTTTTTTTATTTAAAATTTTTGAACCAAGATTTGTCTCAAATTTGTTGTGTAAATGTGAAAGACACAATTTCAACATGCCCCTTGAGAGAGAGACCAAATCTTCTATTCCATAATGGGTGCGACTTCTTTATGATCCCAATAAGTGACTAATATGTATTAATTATCTTAACTTTTCTTAATTTTTTTTGTCATAAATGAAATTAGGTACTAGGGGGAATATCCTGCAAATAAAAATTAACTTTGCACAGTAGACTAGTCAAATGAGCTAGTCAACTAGTTACAAATTAGTCAGTGATATAAAGTGCAGTTGCAAGAATAAAACCTAACTGACCAATGCGTTTAACTAATCAAAGTCTGCCCAGATTAGTTTCACAACAATAAATCCTAAGCTTGAACACATTTACATATTAGTCCATTATGCAAACAACATTGATAAAGCAATTATAGATTAAAGTACACTGGATTGACTGGTCAAGCTCACCAGTCAACTAAATACAGATTCATTAGTTAATCAAATGCAAATCTACGAATCAAACTTAGTTCACTACAAGTTATCTTAGTCAACAACAGTTCAGTTCATTGCTCATAATATGCATTGTAAACAGACAAGTTTTGCTATTTTTTTGTGGAGTTTCCTTAGTATGAGATTTAACTTTATGTTTAGACAAGTTTTGGTGCTAATCATAAAAACAGACAATTTTAACTTATTCAAAATATTTACCATCAATTAGTTTAATAATTTTTTTTTTCTTTCTAGATGTCTTAAGTTTAAACTTTTCCTCCATGCTAGTTAAAAAGAAGTAAGGAAACAAAGTATTTCCATCTCCAAATTCTTTATTTTTACATTCGCGAAAAAAAAACATTGCAGCTTCAAAAGTACAAATCATAATGTGTTGTTTAAATGGGGTCAGTTAAATCTCATTGCCCCTTCCTTTATCATATAATTACATTTAAGTCCCCCGAGTATTTGTACAAGATCTAAATACGAGGCCCTAAATATGGTATAAACAGTAGCCCCCCAAATCTTCAGTCAAGAGAGTCTTTTGGCTGGAGACTTGAAATTCAGTCAATGTGTGGGCCGAAGTAACTAGATGTTGTCTTGAACTGATGCTCGATATGAGGCGGTACTCAATCTGAAATGATGCTCAATTAGAAGTAGCACATGTTACGAGGCTGCTCTGTTCGTGACTTATATTGCCTTGGTTGGCTCGGCTTGTGGCGTTGAAGGTGAGGGAGTCCCTTTTATAGAATAAAGGCTCGCTCCTCAATACATAAATGATGGGCTAGAGTTGATGCTCGTGGCGAGGCGGTTGCTCAGTAAGTGGCGATGCTCTCTAATGATGGTGAGGGAATCCTTTTTATAGAATAAAGGCTCGCTCCTCAATACATAAATATAGGCTAGAGTTGATGCTCTCTAATGGTGGTGAGGGAGTCCCTTTTATAGAACAAGGGCTCGCTCCTCAATACATGAATGGTGGGCTAGAGTTGATGCTCACGGCGAGGCGGTTGCTCAGTAGGCGGCGATGCTCTCTAATGATGGTGAGGGAGTCCCTTTTATAGAATAAGGGCTCGCTCTTTAATACATAAATAATGGGCTAAGTCCCCCAAGTATTTTTCATAAGGCCCAGTTGAGGCCCAATATATGGTACATAATGTAGTCCCCCAAGTCTTCGGTCAATAGAGTCTGTTGGTTGGAGACTTCAAATTGAATCCATGTATGGGCCGAAGTGGCGGTTGTTCAGAGGTGGTATTTGTATACCCTGTACTGAAGCTTTGTAGGTGAAGCTTTGCAAGTGAAGCTTTGAAACTAGAGCTCTGTAAATGACGTTTTTGAAGCTAGAGCTCTGTAAATGAAGCTTTTGAAGCTGATTGACATGAGTGATGCTCATGGATGTTGTCATGAGTGATGCTCATGAATGTTAACATGAGTGATGTTCATGAATGTTCACATGAATGACGATCGTGAATGTTTATGTATGATTGTCATGAGTGATGCTCGTGAATGTTTATGTATAAATGACATGAGTAATGCTCATATATAATTTAGAGTACTAGGCGTACTTTTGATCACCTGATTGGTGACATGAAGGAGAGTACAAGTTGTACATTTCATCACCTGGTTGGTGGCATGAATGGCTAGTTGCCAAATGATATTAGAGTACGGGTTGTACATTTCATCACCTAGTTGGTGGTAATAGCGGCATGTTGTCGAATAATTTTGGAGTACTGGGCGTACTTTTGATCACCTGGTTAGTGGTAATAGCGGCGGGTTGCCGAATAATTATGGAGTACTGGGCGTACGTTTGATAATCTGGTTGGTGGTAATAGCGGTGGGTTGCCGAATAATTGTGGAGTACTGTGCTTACTTTTGATGACCTGGTTGGTGCTATTTCGGGCTTATGGGCCTTCGCCCTCCACAACATGCCAGCCCATTTGTTTTGGGCTTTGCCCTTTTTTTTTTATTACACTCTGATAGGGTTTATATAGATGTATTCGAAAGATAAGAAAAATAATTTACATCATTCAGAAATAAGAAAAGTAAATCACATCTTTTTGGTGGGGTGTTTATTCCTTGCTTTTGCAGTGTCCCCATGTGCCTCTCTTTTGCTTTTCTCCTTTTCCTTCTTTTTGCAGATGACAGATAAGGAAATAATGACATTTCCCTTTTCTTTTTGCTTTTTCTTTTGCTTTCATTTTTAGCTTACTTGATTGCTTTTGCCTTCTTCTTTTCTCTTTTCTGCTTCACCTCTCTCCGTCTCTTCAC